AAGAGCAGGACGATGGCGGCTTCAAACTGACAGCAGATGGTCGGGTTCATCTTGGGGCTGACCATCACCATGCCCTGCAACGACCAGTCACTCCAGTCATCACGGGGACCCCACGTTTTCTGCCTCTGAACTGAGTCATGCTGATTTTTCTGGACTGTGAGACGCTGACTCCAAAGATGACCATAACGGTCAGCTCACTGGCCGTAGTTTTACAGACATCAGCCACTTGCATTTTACATACAGACGTCACATGTCAAGCAGGAAAAGTCTTGATCAAATAGGAAACACACAAACTGAGTGCCAGTAAAGGTAATGACTGCTTCTGCCCACAGAGTGTGATGTCTGGAGGGGAGAGATGAACCTAACAAGCACCTTAAAGAAAGCTGTGTGGCTTATACAGCCTGTGACACAGCACCGGCCTCATGGTTCACCTCAGAACCTGGTCATGTTTCTGGTTTTGCCAGAGATCTCAGGGGACTGTTTTTGTTTCAGAGGCATTTAGGTTGTAGACCAGTGTCACCACAGCAGAGCACGTGTTTGGTCTTTGACTTTCTTCACACAAATCAAAAAGATTCTCTATGAAAAAGTGCCTTTCTATCATCTTGGACTCATCCCCAACACACACAGTTTCCAGGTCATGTGACCTCTGACCTTGCGCAGCAGCGAGCGGTCAAAGTTTCCCACGGCCAGCGTGGCAGCCTGCCCGGCTCTCAGCACCCTGCAGGCCGAGCGGTTCCTCTGGATGCTGCCCACCTTCAGGCGCAGGAAACGGCCCTCGTCAGTCGGGCCGACCACCAGTCGCTCGCCCTCCCTACACACCCCGCTGAAACACACACAGCCTGTGCTTTACTACCGCAATACACTGTGTTTCAGATCAGTGTTGCTGCAGAGAGTGCGTGCATGGACCAACAGAGGTGCTGGATCTTCCGGCAGATGTTGTAAAACCTGAAGCTGACTGAACAGCTGTGTGCAGATCTAACAGCAAGCTGAAGGCTAAGAGCAGCCGCCGGTACACGTGTACGATGGAGCACTGAGGCCATCATGGTATCAGGTCAGGGTATTAATAATACACAAGTGAAGCTGTAGGAGAATGTCAGTGTTACAACTTTACATCACAGAACCACTGTTTTGTGAGGAAATGACATCAGTTTCATTGTAATAGTTCAACTTGAACTCTGATCTGTTTCCCTCCCTGTGGCCCTCACATCCCATCTTCAGCGGAGACCCAGAAAATGCCAGAAATCATTTCCTTTGAGTGATTATTACTGCAGGGTTTGTACTCAGACTGGATGAAGCTGGGACCCCTCTGACTGCACAGACGAACACTGGGGGTTTAGACCGATACTATTATGGAAGTTTACAAAGTCAGTAAAGATATTTGTGGAAATATTCACTTGAGTGCATAATGTACTCCAGCATGGACTTCAACAGTGACCAAGATGTTGAGCGCTGAACATGTTACAGAGTAAAGAGACAAACTACAGTACTAGTGTGTACTAGAATCTGTACTACAGCGTGTACTACAGTACCTGTACAGAGTCCCTCCCACCACAGTGCCAACATCAGGAACAGAGTAAATCTCATCCACCTGCAAACACACACAGACATGATGGATGACAGACAAACCACTACGCCTGTCAGGTGGGTCAGATCATTA